AGTTGTACAGTTCTAATTGAAGAACACAAATTTAATCAAACAGAACAGTTTAAATGTGACACGCACAATATTCTGAAATTCATTCCAACGCAGAAAAATGAAATTAAAATGTTGATGAGGTTATTTATTACTTAATCATCTGTACATATGGTACATGAAACTGTTGGCCTTTTTTTTTATGTTTTTGCAAAAATCAAGATTTTTACTGAAGATTTAAAATAACATGTAGGTACAGAACATGCTTGCACTTACTTAGTCATTTCTAGACTAATAAATGAGTTGGAAAATTTTAAATTTTAAAAAATACACAAATTCATCAACTTAAATCTACAGGCCTCCCAGGGCTTTGTTTTCTGATCATTGTTGCGACCGACATGTTCTTTCACTTCGCTACTTAGGTAGATCATCGGGATAAAACACAGTTTATTGAAATCTTTCTATAAATACCTATGAATAGATTGTTTAGATCCTCTATATAAGACTATTGGCTATACAATGACATTTGTATACTTGTCTGTGGGAGCTCGGAGTCACTGGTGAGTTAATAATACAATCGTGTCTACGTTATTTCTCTCCATAATTCATTCAGAGCTGTTTTAAGCGTCACAGGTCGTCTAAAAACTAAACGATGTGAACTGTCCTAGACAAGATAACCATGAATCACTTTTGTGGGTGGGTATATAGATATGTAGGTATATAGATATGTGGGTAGGTATATCTATAAATATGTGGGTAGGTATATAAATATGTGGGTAGGTATATAGATATGTAGGTATATAGATATGTGGGTAGGTATATAGATATGTGGGTAGGTATATAAATATGTGGATAGGTATATCTATAAATATGTGGGTAGGTATATAAATATGTGGGTAGGTATATCTATAAATATGTGGGTAGGTATATAGATATGTGGGTAGGTATATAGATATGTAGGTATATAGATATGTGGGTAGGTATATAGATATGTGTGTAGGTATATAAATATGTGGATAGGTATATAGATATGTGGGTAGGTATATAGATATGTAGGTATATAGATATGTGGGTAGGTATATAGATATGTGGGTAGGTATATAGATATGTGGGTATATATATAGATATGTGGGTAGGTATATAGATCTGTGGGTAGGTATATAGATATGTAGGTATATATATAAATATGTGGGTAGGTATATAGATATGTGGGTAGGTATATAGATATGTGGGTAGGTATATAGATAAATATGTGGGTAGGTATATAGATATATGGGTAGGTATATAGATATATGGGTAGGTATATAGATATGTGGGTAGGTATATAGATATGTGGGTATGTATATAGATATGTGGGTAGGTATATAGATATGTGGGTAGGTATATAGATATGTGGGTAGGTATATAGATATGTGGGTAGGTATATAGATATGTGGGTAGGTATATAGATATGTGGGTAGGTATATAGATATGTGGGTAGGTATATAGATATGTGGGTAGGTATATAGATATGTGGGTAGGTATATAGATATGTGGGTAGGTATATAGATATGTGGGTAGGTATATATATATGTGGGTAGGTATATAGATATGTGGGTAGGTATATAGATATGTGGGTAGGTATATAGATATGTGGGTAGGTATATATATATGTAGGTATATAGATCTGTGGGTAGGTATATAAATATGTAGGTAGGTATATAGATCTGTGGGTAGGTATATAAATATGTGGGTAGGTATATAAATATGTGGGTAGGTATATAGATCTGTGGGTAGGTATATAGATATGTGGGTAGGTATATAAATATGTGGGTATATAAATATGTGGGTAGGTATATAGATCTGTGGGTAGGTATATAGATATGTGGGTAGGTATATATATAGATCTGTGGGTAGGTATCTAGATATGTGGGTAGGTATATAGATATGTAGGTATATAGATATGTGGGTAGGTATATAAATATGTGGGTATATAAATATGTGGGTAGGTATATAGATCTGTGGGTAGGTATATAGATATGTGGGTAGGTATATAGATATGTGGGTGGGTAGGTACCTGTAGTACGGTCTGATGGAGAGGGTGAATACTTGTAACAGGTTCTTGGTATGACGAAGCACCTTGTCCATGTCTAAAAGCCGTACCTGTAGCATGGTCGGACGGAGAGGGCGAATACTTGTAACAGGTTTCTGATATGACCAAGCACCTTGTCCATGTCTACAAGTCGTACCTGTAGCATGGTCGGATGGAGGGGGTGAATACTTGTAACAGGTTTCTGGTATTACGAAGCACCTTGTCCATGTCTACAAGCCGTGCCTGTAGTACGGTCCGATGGAGAGGGGGAATACTTGTAACAGGTTTCTGGTATGACGAAGCCCCTTGTCCATGTCTACAAGCCGTACCTGTAGCATGGTCGGATGGAGAGGGAGAATACTTGTAACAGGTTTCTGGTATGACGAAGCCCCTTGTCCATGTCTACAAGCCGTACCTGTAGCATGGTCGGATGGAGAGGGGGAATACTTGTAACAGGTTTCTGGTATGACGAAGCCCCTTGTCCATGTCTACAAGCCGTACCTGTAGTACGGTCCGATGGAGAGGGGGAATACTTGTAACAGGTTTCTGATATGACCAAGCACCTTGTCCATGTCTACAAGCCGTGCCTGTAGTACGGTCCGATGGAGAGGGGGAATACTTGTAACAGGTTTCTGGTATGACGAAGCACCTTGTCCATGTCTACAAGTCATACCTGTAGTACGGTCCGATGGAGAGGGTGTATACTTGTAACAGGTTTCTGGTATGACGAAGCCCCTTGTCCATGTCTACAAGCCGTACCTGTAGCATGTTCGGATGGAGAGGATGAATACTTGTAACAGGTTTCTGGTATGATGAAGTAACTTGTCCATGTCTACAAGTCGTACCTGTAGCATGGTCGGATGGAGAGGGAGAATACTTGTAACAGGTTTCTGGTATGACGAAGCCCCTTGTCCATGTCTACAAGCCGTACCTGTAGTACGGTCCCATGGAGAGGATGAATACTTGTAACAGGTTTCTGGTATGACGAAGCACCTTGTCCATGTCTACAAGTCATACCTGTAATATGGTCGGATGGAGAGGGTGAATACTTGTAACAGGTTTATGGTATGACGAAGCACCTTGTCCAAGTCTACAAAACAAACCTGTAATATGGTCGGATGGAGAGGGTGAATACTTGTAACAGGAGATCTAGCTAGAGCTTGAGAAATACACTAGAGACAATGCTCTAAGGCTCAGTGTGATTACTGGACAAGAGATCTTGATCTGTTTACATTGCCTGTTCCTGACATATGGCAGAAAATGTTTGATATATCGGTCTTCATTATAGAAACAGCCTTTTATTAAATTCTATCTAGTTTGTATCCACAACTAAAATTGCCTACAAATAGAGTTTCTGTGGGGAAATTCTATTTAATCAGTAATGTAACAGAAAAGGGAATAGTATGCTTCCACCCGGGATCGAACCCAGGTTCCTCAGTCAGACGCTCTACCACTGAGCTAAAGGCAAAGTCCTTCTAGCTCGAAGCTAGAAGACAACCGTTATCCTAAGTACAATTAAAATCTGCCACACTACTCCACCCTTTTTAAATGTGTTCACCCTCGAACACCACAACCCAGGTTCTAACTCCCTGTCACCACAGGGAGGGCCACTGACACCATTTGTTACAGGAAAGAGAATAGTGTGCTTCCACCGGGGATCGAACCCACGATCTCCAGGTTCCTAGTCGGGTGCTCCACCACTGAGCTAAAGGGAAATTCCCACTAGCTCGAAGCTAGAAGGCGACCTTAATCCTATGTCCAATTAAACCCTGCCACAGTAAGATGATTTTAAAAAAAATAGTGACTCAATAAGAGCCAGGGTATGTCTGTATGGATGGTCAATTTGATGAACCATTTGAAGTCAACACAGTGATTTTTGTAGGAGTTCTTATATTCCTGTCAAAAAAGTTTTTTGACAGGACATAGGCCTAGGACATATCATGGTATGAGGACACCCTTCATCCCTTCATCCATCCAAACTTTAATTTCTGCAAGATAACTTGCTTAAGTATCGTTCAATTTTAATGAAATTGGTAAGAATGTATGTTATATAAAGAGTAAGGCTATGTTCGAACTTAAGCAAATACTGTACTGTAATGAATAACTATGAGGCACCACTGACCGGCATCCCACGTTACACTCTCACAACGGATCGACTGTCGCTTTCGCTTGCAGATTGCAATGTTGACAAATATTATATATATATATATAGACGACTGGAATGACAACTTAGAAAGAAATCAAGTTTAACCTTTTATTATGACAGAAAACCATTTAACGACATTAACGGACATGTGGTGGTCAACGACTTCCTTCAATGTAATATTTTTCTTCATTCTGTATGCGAGTATGTACGATTTTATTACTCCAGTACGGACATTGATCTCATTTCTTTACCGTGTATTATTCTCTTCATAATAATGGACACTCGGTCTTTTTTCAACGCCTCACTTCAATGTCCTAAATTCGGAGTGAAAAAACAGGCCGATTTTGGCAATAATTTGTACAGGATTTTTTTTTTTTGCTTTTGGAACTTATTCAAACATTATCTGTTTTTATCTCTTTGAAACATACTTAAAACAAGGACAATGTGAAATTTCACAAGTTTATTCAAAATAAGTGGCAAAGTCCGAAAAAACAGAGGTACCATCATTTGAACCAATACTGAATTTTGCCTCATATATAATTAGGAGGTAAAATAAGGTAGGTGTTGTATGTGATAATTGAGAATATTTATTACCAGGGTTGTAAGTTGAAAATACAATATCTTTTTATAAGTGCATCCGTTATCAGCTGAAATGTCATTTGAACCATCCCTGCCAAAATCAGCATCAATGTCTTATGATTAGCTGGAGGCAAAAATACTGAAGTGGACGGGATAGTATTTGGGATATCCAGGGATATTTTTAGATTTCCAGATATGACATACACAATGATGTGGTTTTATTTACAGACATGTGGAATATATCTACCATGGTTGTAAGTCCTGGACTAAAGACAGTGATGAGGGGGACAGGAAGAAGGCAAAGGACCACCATTACAAACAGATGCTGTATGAGGACAATGATGCCAGTCTGATACGGATGCTGGAAAGCTTCCTGGAGTCCGCACCTCAGCTTATCATCCAACTTTACATCATACTCACCGAGGAGAAACATGACAGTCCTCCATTTTTTACAAGTAAGGCAAAACATTTGAGAAAACAAAATCGTTTAACCCTTTCACCCCTATGTAACTTTAGTAGACTCTACCATGAATATATGGATGAGTCAATTATGGTCTACAGTGGTGAAAGGGTTGAAGACAATTTTATGCCAAAGTTGTTAAGACCATATGCATTAGATTTTTAGATTAATGCAGTTTCAAGATTATTTGAAGAACTTGAAATAGGCTTCTGTGCTAACAAAAAGGGAAGATTAATTGTAACTGTAATCATTGGCTAGAACTTGAAAATTAATTTGACTCCAGGGTTTGAAAGGATTTGTCTATTTAACATGTATTTTGGCCCTCTAAATTTGAGGAAATATGTTACTTCAGAAATACCTGAATGACAAGGGTCAGCTGAAAGTCCTTTTAAATCAAACTACAAATGACAGGTAACAGAGTAATTCAATTCAATTGGATATAGTATGATTTGATTTGTGAAAATATAAACTGGAATTAAACATTTCTGATAATTTACCATTTTGGGTTAACCCTTTCACCACTGTAGACCATAATGGACTCTTCCAAATTATTGCATGGTAGAGTTCACTCAAGTTACATAGGGGTGAAAGGGTTAAGTGTGTTTTTGTTTGATGATAAATTCTTGAATATAACCAGATTTCTGTTGTCATTTCCAGTCTTCGTGAGAGAGAAAAAATCCCCAAAATAGTACAAAACGTAACGTAAACATGGCCAGGTCAAATACCAGTTTGTTCATCTCTTTCAGTGTATGTCCGCCCAGTGGCCATGTTAGGGTCATGGATTGGTCTGTCCTGGTCCCTCGTGTCCTACCACAGAGCTCTCCGCGCTATGCATGCTCATTCTAGTGGGTTGACCACCGCTAGCATGACTGGCCTCGGAAAAAACATCGGTGGAGCTATTGGTTACTTCCTGTGGCGGGCCTGCGAGGTCGGACCTCGTGTCATCATTATAGCACTTTTTGCATCACAGCTCGGTTATATAGTCCTTGTCGCAGCCGGATTTCATTGGCTAAGTATGACCACGTGGTTGTTCTTCCAGAAAACTGAGTTTTATCCGAATCGTCGTGACGAGATTATATTTAACATCGTGATAGGTTATGTGTTAGTTTTTTGTTTTATTAATACCCGTGATGGTCATACAAGATTTCGAGTCATCATTTATTATTTCGTGTTTTACCTCGAGAACTTTGCCATGCTCTTATCCTGGACCTACTTTACACCCGATAAAAGTGAGTGGTTCTACTTCATGGCCATTTCCGTTGTAGCATCTGGCTTTGTGTGCCAGATAGTGTTCCAGCTCTTCTTCTACATGTGCTGCCACCCCGAGAAAATCGAGATTTGCCTGAACCCGTGTAAGGATTTTATGTTTTATCGGTCTGTGTGTCACAGCCTTGATGAGGCTGACAGAGAACCTCCCGCTTATCTTTAATATACATTGAAGAATTTTTACTTACATTGATGCACATTTATGGTTTAGGCTAGGCAAAAAACTGTTTCCTGTTAATTTTATTTTTCTAAAATAAAGTTGAGATGAAGACAGAACGTAGAGAATGATACGGGTACGTATACATAATTGTTTGGATAGAAATACAAGTGTTATTCCTGTTTACATGTAGACAGGATTGAGATAGGCTAAGATTATACTCAGCACAAAAAGAAAGGTCAAACACAATCACCTGTGGACTGCCTCTACATCTGTGAGAACAGGAAAACCTTTTTATAGTACATAACTTTATAAACTTTCAGGCGTAGAATACCAACCAAGTGACACCCAATTAATTAAATCATTCAAGCGTACGTAGTCTGTGATGGCCCATAAACTCCTCATGCCTTTTTGCAGATAACTACAACAGTGATTGGTATAAAGTGGGAACGTAGTTCATCTATCTATCGCCTCATTACGACTAAAATCTCATAAAAAGTTGTCACCAATAGGTTTATACCATTACGCCATGACTGTCGCAAGTTTAGAGGGAAAGGGCTGTTGGCAGAGGACTCGCCTTGACACATCATCGTAACAACTGCTTAAAATGGGTCAGTGTACATGTCAACATCAGGTGTTTCCCTAACGGAACAATATTAATGTGTTGTAAGAATCACTTACTGTATAACACGAAATGTTTGTGGCTAATTTCTTTCGTGGTTTGAAGCCATTTAGATCGTTTCATGGTACAAACTTTCGTTGATATCCTATAATAACAAACAGTCGACACGTATATCATTCAAATTCGCTCTATTTATGTTTCGTGGTTCAATATAGCAACCACGAAAACCACGAATGTTTATACACAAGGAACATTTCATGTTATACAGTAATGGGAGACGTACAGTCAGAGTAAATGCTTTGAAAACAGCTGCATTGTTGTGGGGACCGGTTGTGGTTTCCTATGAACAATGCCGGTTTATGCCTCTCTTTGTTATGTCATATCTCCTGTACCTTTTGGCGAACTAATTTGAAATTTCATACTTGCGCACAGAACTTCATTTATTCCCGATCACAAGTATAACAATTAATTATAAATCCCTGATGAGGTCGGAAATGACCCATAATGCCCCTAGTCATACTGAAACATATTACCTGTTAACCCTTTCACCCGTAGGTAACTTTAGTAGACTCTACCAGTTATTTATTAGGACGAGTCCATTGTGGTCCACAGTGGTGAAAGGGTTAAGCTCATATTGAAACATGCTTTTGTATATAACTTAACATTGATATTGTGGCATCAGGGTCTGTATTACAATATATGGATAATACGGTGAATTATCTAAAGTATCCGTGTAAAGTATTGTTTACCTGTCTTTTTAACTGAGTATAGAGAAAGGAAGCCTCATCCACGAGGCATCCAATAAACAGATTTTTCAACAACAAAAATCCTGAAAATTAAGAAAATTTGATTTATCATCTGAATTGTTGTTCCAGAAAGGTCTTGAACTGAAATGTTCTGACTAATGATGTTTACACTGTGTCTACTTACATAACATTAACTGTATGTTTACCTATATGTTTACCAGTATGTTTACCTGTACGTTTGTAATTAGTGTCTACACCTTTACTCTAGTAGCTACTGATACACCTAGTCCAATATTAACCTCAGGTACAAATGTTGAGCACTAAACTCTGTGTGTAAGTAAGTCGTAGGTTAAGAAAAGGTTGTACTAATTGTATGTTTTATTATTGGTGTCATTTTCTGTGAGATCGAAAGGGATGATAATGAATTAAGAATTATGATCACTGATCTTTGTTTCCTCAATGTTAGCTGTTAATAAGATTCTTTGTTATGTTTTAGAAATGTTGACCAATTTTAAGTTAAATATATAATGGTAATGAAAAAAACCCAATTGTTATGATGACCTGTTTTATTTTTTTAGAAAAAATCTTTGAAAGTCATATCTTCTCAACAAAACATCTAAGGTGGTGACATTTGGCAAGTTGCATTCTAGGATGAAGGGGTATAAAATTTATTCAACTTAATATCCTTGTTTGACTTTCAAGGTCACAAAGACCGAATTGGTTTAAATCTTGTGACAGGTTGTGACTTAAGACACTGATAGTTTGCCTGCAGCTTTATTGAGTGATGCAGGCCCATTGGGCCTCTTGTTTTAACATGTCTTGTAATTTTTGGTATTTCGATATTTCTAAATTTTGATTACAATTGCATGTGCATGCTTTCAAATGCAATAATTCCATAACTCGGGGTATTATATATGTACTTAACAGGTCATATCTTTTAGTATGAACTTTTAATTAAAAGGTCATATGTTACAATATGAACTTAAAAGGTCATATATATATATGCTCTGTTAGTTGGCATAAGCATTAAATCATTTGCTTCAGAATTAGACAATGTTTTATTATATAATCCCTTCTTTTTTGTATCTGTTATAATTACCGACGTTTGCTTATCAGCTTTTTGGAGATTACTAAATAATTAATTCACTTGGAGTTGGAGAATATAGAGCCAGCATAAACAGAAATCCTTGATGAAATCCTAATGCTGGTTAATGGTGTACTAACATTTTGTTTGATGTTTTCCTGACTTTTGTAGTGTGCAGCTCATGCTTTTCGTTTTTATGTCACATCATAAAAAAGGAGGGCTTGAACATTTGGTTTTTGCAAATTGTTTAACTCATATTCACCCCTGAAGACACATTTGAACTCTTCCAATTCAAAGGTTGGAATAGCTCATTATAAAATTTCAGGGGTGAATGAGTTAAGAATGCACAGAGCTTGTTGAAATAATTTGCTTTTTTAACTGTTCTGATGTTACTTATTTTATACATTACAGTGTATATTGCTTGTTGATATTAACTACAAAAATCTTTCGTTAGTGTACACAACATTGCAAGGCGCTTTTACCGGCAAATTATTTTGAAATCATTTGTGGGAAGAGATTATTAGGACTCCAAATATGGTATTTGGTCAAGTTTTATTTAGATTTATTGATGCATAGTTATATAGATGTTACTGGCAAATTGCAATTCTTTTCAAATTGAATGATAGGGCATATTTAAACTAACACAAGGGCATATTTAAATTTCACACAAGACAAAACAAATATTGTATATATAGTTTAGCTATATATCGCATAATTACTATTTAAACTTAACACAAGACAAACAAATATTGTATATACATGTAGTTTAGCTATATAATTATCTAATAGTTACAGATACATGTGTATAGCAACTTAAACTGGTATAAAGTATATATTTAATATTATATCTGTTTAACGATACTGATATGTAAGTAAGGGGAAACTCATAATGAGCCCTTTTGCATTGAAAAGTGAGAAAATACATGAGGGCAAAAACATTAAAGTGTACAGACGGTATCTACAGATCTAGAATTGAAACACAAGCCAAATCCTTGACTACGTGTTGATTGAAATGAACAAAAGTTCTAGCCAGACTATCTGGTTATACTGCATGTTTTAAGTGTAATCTTTTTGTCCGTACCTGTATCAGTCATTATACTATAATTATGCTTGGTTAGCCTTGAATACCAATAGTATATAGATATAAATAATCATATTTATCACATACTGTACTGTGTTATCCAGTAAATATACCCATGTTATATTTTTTGGCGTATAAACACCCATGTAGTATGACCTATCAGCCCTGTGATTGGTTGTAAGTTTCAAATGTGACAAGTACACGACGTCACAGACTTACGCACTAGAGTCAAAATGGCGGCTTTTTACATTTCAAGATTGCATGAACATTGTCGTTTTACAAATCTTAATAATGTGATGAAAAGGATCTTACTCTCAATTTCATTTCATATGAAATTTATGGAACTCGTCACAAATTTTTCATTTTAGCATGCCAGAAGCTCACTAAATTGAAAAACTCTTTGACTCCTTTCATAAATCTCAGATGGAATGGAAACTCGTGTAAGATCCTATATGTATCTTCTGAAATATAGATATGCATATGGCATTAAGTTGTACCAGGGTATGATATCAATATACATTAAATATGTCTATATTGAAACCAAGGAGATATACTAGGTTATACCGGGACATATTGTTCTCTATACAGTAACATAGATCCATAACAAACCTGAGAGGATCTACAATATTTGTTGACAAGTTTACAACAAACCCCAGGGGATCCAAGATTTTAGATCTCTTCAGTAAAAGAGTCTGTTAATGAATCCCAGGGTAATTAAGATATTAGTTTTCTGTACAGTACATTTTATCTGTTAACAATCCCAGGGGAATTAAGATTTTAGTTCTCAGTACAGTAAAATTTATCTGTTAACAAATCCCAGAGGAATTAAGATATTAGTTCTCTGTACAGTAAATTTTGAATCCCAGGGGAATTAATATATTAGTATTTTGGTTCTCGGTTCAGTAAATTAGGTTTTCAACCAAACCTAGGGTACCTTACATATTAGCTGTATACAGTAAGGGGCGTAATAAATTGATAAAAAGGTAAGAAAGAAACATAAGCTGACATAAGTAAAAAATGGTTAGGATAAATTAGATATCTTTACAGTAAAGCCTGTATAATGTAATCTGGGGGCATTAGAATTAGTTCTCTAATGAAGAGTCTATAGAGTAAATTTGGATCTTTATACCTGAGCTTTCTACAGTAAAACAAATCCAGTGAAAAGATTTTGTACATTAGTCGCTAGAGTTTTAAGACAAACTCTAGGAGACATTGAAATATTCCTCTCGATAAGAAGTATGGACGGGTATATCAGAAATACTGGGGGATAGGCTAGGGTAGAAGAAATAAGTGCAAAAAACATGTTTATGCCAGATATTAATGTGCCCGGTGTTTGTAAAACTTGCTTTTAATCTAATGAGAAATTGGTTCTCTACAGTAAAACACGTTTATAATGAACCTTAGAGAATCTGGTTTAACTATATAGCTACAGCACAACTGGTTTATAATACAAAATGTATATAAATAAAAATAATAACAGTATGAGTTTTATATTGATGTAATGCAGCTTTTTTATATCAAGTCTTTTTTAAACCCTTGCATCACTAGTAGGCTAGTCAATTTGTATTTTTATATAATTTTTTAATATAAAATGATGCAATCTTATCTACAGGTTTTATAGTGTCTTGTAATCATTTCGTATTACGTTTTATTTTATTTTATTATAAACAGTCTTTTTTTTATGAATGTTTATGTACAAAATAAAATGTGAAACGGCCAAAATATTAATAAATTATTATGATGTTACTCCGGATGTTTCTTGGGTTGTATTTATATCAACTTGTCAACGTGTCAATAACGATGGCTGCAATTTTTGAAGCTTCTAGGATTGAAGAAAAACAAATATTACAACTTCATAGCGATGTAGTTTGTATGAAACTGTACAGGATCCATCTAGATTTAGCTAGAAGTCACTTGTAAAAGAAAGAAAAAAGGAACACAAACTAATGGGAGAAGGGATCGCATTGTAGGCATACTAGCCTAAACTAAAAACCAGGGAAGGACTAGTCCCGTCCTAAGCATGTCTAGTTTCAGGAATTCTTATTGTTATATTTTCATCTCAAACTGTGTTCACATTTCTTCAAGGCAGATGGCTTCACTGGAAATCATTCGGGCAGTTATTCAGGATGTATAGGGAACAGAAGGTTTCAAGAGGTGTTACATGTTCAATGAATAAGCTTTTAACGTTATTAATGCTGTCTGATAGAACACATCTCTAATGCCTTGAGCATATACAAATCCACTACTGCCTTAAAATATCTGAATTGCGCCCACTTTCTCTCTGACATATTGAAACACCTGTCAAAGACTTACTGGACTTTCTGAGGTGGTAGACTCGGCTGGTGGAACTTTTAGTCCTTGAGTTTGCTGTAACCTTGATGGCCACAGTTATCTCCTTTTTGTGTCGCCTGCGAAAAGCTGGTGACACATAGGTATTGCTATGTCGGCGGCGGCGGCAGCGTCCGGACAGAGGTTTTCATGCGATAACTTTGAGTTTCCTTGGGCCGATCAAACTCAAACTTCATGCAGTGCTTCCTTACCAAAAGCGCTTGCTTGGGATTGTATTTCAGGTCCAAAGGTCAAATGTCAAGGTCACTGTTACTATAAATAGAAAATCTGTTTTCGTGGGATAACTTGAGTTTTGTTGGGCCGATCAAACTCAAACTTCATGCAATGCTTCCTTACCAAAAGTGCTTGCTTGGGATTGCTTTTCAGGTCCGAAGGTCAAAGGTCAAGGTCACTGTTACTATAAAAAGAAAATCTGATTTTGTGCGATAACTTGAGTTTCCTTGGGCCGATCAAACTCAAACTTCATGCAGAGCTTCCTTACCAAAAGTGCTTGCTTGGGATTGCTTTAAACATAATCTATAATTATTGCTTACTTTTAACATTATTTCTTGAAATGAAAAGTGTATCTATTAATTTCTTTGTAATCTCCCAGCTTCCTGCACAGGCGACACATCCACTAACGTGGAATTCTTGTTTTTTGTAGTGAGTGTTCAAAATGTCTCGCTAATTATTTAACTTGAAATTAACCAGTACAGCTCTTAATTTTGAAATTCACGAATCATGTTTTTTCTGTACAATACCTCCCGTTCTGTTTTAACAGTTAGTTTGGACCAACATGGATTTCCATCAGTTTGGCCCCCTAGTATCACCAGTGAGTCCTAGAAGGACAAAACAGCTGTATGGTGCAGTGTTATTCAGTTTTGGCTCTCTGTACCTATTGCCAGATCTTAAAGGTGGTGTCACCTGTGTGCATTCATTGTTCATCTCTTGCTCGTTTATCCAATCTCTGTTTTGAGATTCTTTGGGACTCTAAGTTGGGTAGAGTTTTATGTGAGTTTCTAAAGGTCGGCCAAATTGACAGAAGCTAGGATGTATCTGCATCTACACATGTACAGTTCGGCAGATCATGGAGACTGTGTCTGCATGAGAGTATTTTCAATCGTACTCTCGATAGTTCTTCTACTTCTACCGACCAACCTCAACAATTTGAAGATTACTGTCAGAGGAGGGTATAAATATATTATAATTATCGACCTATAATTACTAAGCTGTACGACTCTGCTTCCCCAACTTACTGTGTTATCATGTTGCAGTTGATTTTGAAAGACTCGTTCCAAATAATTCCTTTGGCTTCGATAACACCTACATATCTATTGAGAACGGTTGTCTTGCAGTGGTGTTACATGTACAGCAGTAAAAGACTTTGATATCAGTTCTGTCAATTTCACATACCTCTTGAAATTAAATCATCTGGCTAGCTACAAATCCAACGATAGAAGTGATTTAAAAATTAACAGAAATGATCCGAAGTGTTGTTATTTTTCAAGTCTGTCCAAAATCCAACATGGCTGACATGGTGGCCATCTTGAAAAATAACACCCACATTTCAACCGTCAGTTTTGTCAATGTGTTCTTCGTAATCTCCGGTTGGATTGGAAAATTTGCCAAACATTAGGATGCTGGGAAGATGAATCAAAGAGTGTAAAGGAAAACTGTACACAATAAACTTGTCTTTGTGATATATACACTGTAGGACATTACTTTAGTATATAAAACAGAACACCCGAAGCTGTGAAATAGTATTTTATTAATTCTGATCAAAATCATCTACATAATAATCACAAGTATGAAAACAGTCAATTGAAACTTGTTAATAACAACAACTGTTTAAACTTCAGGATCTGCCTGCGCCATTGGAAGGTAAAGTAACATCCATCTAGGTGGAAGGAATATAACAAAACATTGAGGAAACTGGAGAAAGAACGCCGCCAGTGGGCAAATAAGGTCATACATCCACCGAGTCTCTTATATAGCCATGGAAAGGTCACTTGTCGGTCACACATTCATAGAGTTACCGATCAAACATTAACAGTAAGTCACTTGTCTGTTACACATTCACAAAGAGTCGCTGGTCAGTCATACATTCCTAAAGTCGCTGGTCAGTCATACATTCCTAAAGTCAGTGGTCAGTCATACATTCCTAAAGTCAGTGGTCAGTCCTACATTCCTAAAGTCACTGGTCAGACATACATTCCTAAAGTCACTGGTCAGTCATGCATTCCTAAGGTCACTGGTCAGTCATACATTTCTTAAGTCGCTGGTCAGTCATACATTCCTAACGTCACTGGTCAGTCATACATTCCTAAAGCCACTGGTCAGTTCATTCCTGAAGTCACTGGTCAGTCCTACATTCCTAAGGTCGCTGGTCAGCAGTACATTCCTGAGGTCACTGGTCAGTCATACATTCCTAAAGTCACTGGTCAGTCATACATTCCTAAAGCCACTGGTCAGTTGTTCATTCCTGAAGTCACTGGTCAGTCCTACATTCCTAAGGTCGCTGGTCAGCAGTACATTCCTTAGGTCACTGGTCAGTCATACATTCCTAAAGTCACTGGTCAGTCATACATTCATAAAGCCACTGGTCAGTCATACATTCCTAAAGTCAGTGGTCAGTCATGTATTCACAAGAGAATCTGTGGATGGTCATTAGTCAATGGTTAAACATGAATCCCAGGTGAGTCACAAGTCAGTCACATGTCATAGTGAGTCAGTCACTGGTAAGTCTTAGACAAGTCACTTGTAAGTCTAATACAAGTCACTTGTAAATCTAAGACAAGTCAAGTCACTTGTAAGTCTAAGACAAGTCACTGGTAAGTTTAAGACAAGTCACTTGTAAGTCTAAGACAAGTCACTGGTAAGTCTAAGACAAGTCACTGTTAAGTCTAAGACAAGTCACTTGTAAATCTAAGACAAGTCACTTGTAAGTCTAAGACAAGTCACTTGTAAGTCTAATACAAGTCACTTGTAAATCTAAGACAAGTCACTTGTAAGTTTAGGACAATTCACTTGTAAGTTTAAGACAAGTCACTTGTAAGTCTAAGACAAGTCACTGGTAAGTCTAAGACAAGTCACTGTTAAGTCTTAAGACAAGTCACTTGTAAATCTAAGACAAGTCACTGGTAAGTCGTACACCAATGTGGAGTTAATAGAGAGTGTGTATAGGGGTAAGTTACATGTGACTTTGACAAGGGTGTCCTTATCCATACCTCAAAGGGAATAGTCCTCTTAACAGACATGATTGAAAAAGGTTCTCTCATATCTTTTCAATAAATCGTGTAAATGTCTACACTGAGAGTTAACCTATTAATCCCCAATGGGATGGTATGACTTATATGAGACGTCACTGATTTTACAGCATGTATTTGTGACGTCAAAGGTACCAATGAGCTCCAAAAATGCCACGTAAGATAACAATGGTTACTTTCTGATATGTGATATTAAGATAAACACATGTTTTAGAGAACTGTCATACTTCTATAGAGTCTATAGAGACTATATGGGCATCTGTCATATGTCACTAAGCTCAACAATCATATGTCTAATGTGTCATTGTATTCATCAATCATACGTCTAATGTGTCATTGTGTTCATCAATCATACGTCTAATGAGTCATTGTATTCATCAATCATACGTCTAATGTGTCATTGTATTCATCAATCATACGTCTAATGTGTCATTGTGTTCATCGATCATACGTCTAATGAGTCATTGTGTTCATCAATCATACATCTAATGTGTCATTGTATTCATCAATCATACGTCTAATGTGTCATTGTGTTCATCAATCATACATCTAATGAGTCATTGTGTTCATCAATCATACGTCTAATGTGTCATTGTGTTCATCAATCTTACGTCTAATGAGTCATTGTGTTCATCAATCTTACGTCTAATGTGTCATTGTGTTCATCAATCATACATCTAATGTGTCATTGTATTCATCAACCATACATCTATGAGGTGTTAATAAAATCATCAGTTGTGCCTCTTCAGGGGGTCACTGTTGTTAACAGTCTACATTTATGGAGAGTCACTTATGTCATCAGTCATACGTCTATGGAGAGTCACTAAGGTCATCAGTCATACGTCTATGGAGAGTCACTTTGGTCATCAGTCATACGTCTATGGAGAATCACTAATGTCATCAGTCATACGTCTGGAGAGTCACTAAGGTCATCAGTCATACGTCTATAGAGAATCACTAAGGTCATCAGTCATACGTCTATAGAGAATCACTAAGGTCATCAGTCATACGTCTGGAGAGTCACTAAGGTCATCAGTCATACGTCTATGGAGAATCACTAAGGTCATCAGTCATACGTCTATAGAGAATCACTAAGGTCATCAGTCATACGTCTATGG